GTGTCCCGAGTGCTTTGTCCGGCGCCCTGCCTGCATTTTTACTATTCTTTCTGCCTGGAAACTGAGAAACGTCCATGGCGTCCAAAAGCGTCACTTTAGGTCAAAAGCGGTTTTAGAGCGGCTAGAGAACAGCGATAGTAAATCAGAACCACTTGCAGAATTGAGTGATAATGATTCGTGGGGGAAATTCCTCATCAAACAGTGAAAACGATTTTGCGACTTTGCTCAGCGATGTGCAAACTTGGCGCTATATTTCAAATTTCAGTGTTTTTGGTTTGATTATATTATTGAATTAAATGTATTATTATTATATTATTATTATTTATGATTATTTATTAAATTATAAATTTATGATTTTGTGTTTCAAATTTTATCATACCCGGGATGTTTACTAGACTCTTGTTCGGGCAGATTTCAGTGAGTTATTCCTAAAAATTACAGCCTACAATAAAAAAAAAATACATATTTCCATGCAGAAAAATGGTACCGCTTTCAGCACCAAAAATCTGAAATAATCATACCGCCAGGGAGGTTAAGACAAACATAAAAGACTACGTTCAGCGGTGCTTAGATGGTGTCCAGACCCGCAGGTTGTCTATTCACAGCCATGTTCTCAGGAAGATTTCTCTATTCCTCTAATGGCAGGACTCTCTAGATATAATAGTGGGAATACTCAGCACGGTGTCTTGTTCTGAATGTTCAGGCTACAAAAACAAGGGCTTCAACCATCCAAGGTGTATATATATATATATACTGTATACACACACACTGTATATATATCATATGTGAATGAATGACTAAATGATTTCACCAATGTGCATCAGACTATACCTAAAGCCAAATCTTTCTCTATAGTGAGGACTATGAAAGGATTAGACCCCCCCCCATCATGTTTTTTATTGCTGTGTTTGCCCCCTCTGAGAAGACTAAGGCTGCTGTCACACTGATCGGTTTTTTCTTCTGTTTTTGCGTTATGAAAACCGGAAGAAAAACGCGTGACCCTTAAAATCCTATGGAGCTCTTCCCACTGGTCAGTTCCAGAATTAAAAGTCTTGCATGCTGCGTTTCCGGTGCATTTTGCACCAGTGAGAAAAAAAATGTGTGACTTCAAAAAACCACATAAAAAACATACCATGGGTGTATTTGTATGCGTTTTTGATGCTTTTTTTTTTTCGTTTATTTCAATGGGGAGGTGAATTTTTGGTGCAGCTTTCTTATTGCACCAAACTATATCCGCTCTCCCTGGACTCTGCATTCACTATATCCGCTCTCCCTGGACTCTGCATTCCCTATATCACCTCTCCACGGACCCCGCATTCACTATATCCGCTCTCCCTGGACTCTGCATTCACTATATCCGCTCTCCCTGGACTCTGCATTCACTATATCCGCTCTCCCTGGACTCTGCATTCACTATATCTGCACTCCCCGGACCCCGCATTCACTATATCACCTCTCCCCGGACCCCGCATTTCACTATATCCGCTCTCCCTGGACTCTGCATTCACTATATCTGCACTCCCCGGACCCCGCATTCACTATATCACCTCTCCCCGGACCCCACATTTCACTATATCCGCTCTCCCCGGACCCTGCATTCACTATATCCGCTCTCCCCGGTACCCTGCATTCACTATATCCGCTCTCCCCGGGACCCTGCATTCACTATATCCGCTCTCCCCGGACCCTGCATTCACTATATCCGCTCTCCCCGGACCAAGACTATGCCATTTCCCTGTGTTTCCTGCACCCATAATTGCATGAATGGCAGCCCCGCACATCTTGCGAGAGCAGCACGATTCGGCTGCGGGTGGTTGCTGGTGCGGGAACAGGTGAGATTCTTGTACCCACAACCAATCCACAGCCTGCAGGCTGGTGTGAACAGAACGTCAAGCTGCATTCACACTGATCTGTTTTTCTTCCACTTTTGTGGTAAAAAAAAGTGGAAGAAAAATGTATGACCAAGAAATCCTGTGGAAAAGTTCACATTGGGGGCCCTCTGCATTTTGTAAAAATCATGCTAGCTGTATTTTTCATGAAAAACCACACCAAGAACGCAGCTCCCCATTGAAATGAATGGAAACCGCATCAAAAACGTGGCAACAGTGGCACCGGCAGTTGTGTTTTTGCTACAGCTTTTTCAGTCACATTCCTTTTATTCACAGATGCAAAATGCACCGGAAACATAGCAAATACGCATCTGCCTTATTACTGCGTTTTTTGCAAAGGAGAAATGTGAAAGTGGCCTAAAGGAACGACTCAGAAAATCTGCTTTATGCAACATTTGTGCAACAGTAACAAATCATTTCTGGAATGTTTTTATTATGTGTGTAATAGTTTCCTTATTGTCTATTACTGGGTGAATGTATCAACCCTAACATTCCATCCTAGGAGAGAAATAGCTTAAGGGGGATATGACCTCCATATATAATACATAAGGGGGGATATGACCTCCATATATAATACATAAGGGGGGATATGACCTCCATATATAATACATAAGGGGGGATATGACCACCATATATAATACATAAGGGGGGATATGATCTCCATGTATAATACATAAAGGGGGATATGATCTTCATGTATAATACATAAGGGGGGAAATGATCACCATGTATAATACATAAGGGGGGGATATGATCTCCATGTATAATACATAAGGGGGGGGATATGACCACCATATATAATACATAAGGGGGGATATGATCTCCATGTATAATACATAAGGGGGGGATATGATCTCCATGTATAATACATAAGGGGGGATATGATCACCATGTATAATACATAAGGGGGGGATATGATCTCCATGTATAATACATAAGGGGGGGATATGATCTCCATGTATAATACATAAGGGGGATATGATCTCCATGTATAATACATAAGGGGGGATATGATCTCCATGTATAATACATAAGGGGGGGGATATGATCTCCATGTATAATACATAAGGGGGGATATGATCTCCATGTATAATACATAAGGGGGATATGATCTCCATGTATAATACATAAGGGGGGATATGATCTCCATGTATAATACATAAGGGGGATATGATCTCCATGTATAATACATAAGGGGGATATGATCTCCATGTATAATACATAAGGGGGGATATGATCTCTCCATGTATAATACATAAGGGGGGATATGATCTCCATGTATAATACATAAGGGGGGATATGATCTCCATGTATAATACATAAGGGGGGATATGATCTCCATGTATAATACATAAGGGGGGGATATGATCTCCATGTATAATACATAAGGGGGATATGATCTCCATGTATAATACATAAGGGGGGATATGATCTCCATGTATAATACATAAGGGGGGATATGATCTCCATGTATAAATACATAAGGGGGGATATGATCTCCATGTATAATACATAAGGGGGGATATGATCTCCATGTGTGTATAATACATAAGGGGGGATATGATCACCATGTATAATACATAAGGGGGGGATATGATCTCCATGTATAATACATAAGGGGGATATGATCTCCATGTATAATACATAAGGGGGGGATATGATCTCCATGTATAATACATAAGGGGGGGATATGATCTCCATGTATAATACATAAGGGGGGATATGATCATCCATGTATAATACATAAGGGGGGATATGATCTCCATGTATAATACATAAGGGGGGATATGATCTCCATGTATAATACATAAGGGGGGATATGATCTCCATGTATAATACATAAGGGGGGATATGATCTCCATGTATAATACATAAGGGGGGATATGATCTCCATGTATAATACATAAGGGGGATATGATCTCCATGTATAATACATATATGATCTCCATGTATAATACATAAGGGGGGATATGATCTCCATGTATAATACATAAGGGGGGATATGATCTCCATGTATAATACATAAAGGGGGGATATGATCTCCATGTATAATACATAAGGGGGGGGGGATATGATCTCCATGTATAATACATAAGGGGGGATATGATCTCCATGTATAATACATAAGGGGGGGATATGATCTCCATGTATAATACATAAGGGGGGGATATGATCTCCATGTATAATACATAAGGGGGGATATGATCTCCATGGGGGGATATGATCTCCATGTACATAAGGGGGGATATGATCTCCATGTATAATACATAAGGGGGGGATATGATCTCCATGTATAATACATAAGGGGGGATATGATCTCCATGTATAATACATAAGGGGGGATATGATCTCCATGTATAATACATAAGGGGGGATATGATCTCCATGTATAATACATAAGGGGGGATATGATCTCCATGTATAATACATAAGGGGGGATATGATCTCCATGTATATAATATATAAGGGGGGATATGATCTCCATGTATAATACATAAGGGGGGGGGATATGATCTCCATGTATAATACATAAGGGGGGGATATGATCTCCATGTATAATACATAAGGGGGGATATGATCTCCATGTATAATACATAAGGGGGGATATGATCTCCATGTATAATACATAAGGGGGGGGATATGATCTCCATGTAATAATACATAAGGGGGGGGATATGATCTCCATGTATAATACATAAGGGGGGATATGATCTCCATGGGGATATGATCTCCATGTATATAATACATAAGGGGGGGGATATGATCTCCATGTATAATACATAAAGGGGGGATATGATCTCCATGTATAATACATAAGGGGGGATATGATCTCCATGTATAATACATAAGGGGGGATATGATCTCCATGTATAATACATAAGGGGGGATATGATCTCCATGTATAATACATAAGGGGGGATATGATCTACATGTATAATACATAAGGGGGGGGGATATGATCTCCATGTATAATACATAAGGGGGGATATGATCTCCATGTATAATACATAAGGGGGATATGATCTCCATGTATAATACATAAGGGGGGATATGATCTCCATGTATAATACATAAGGGGGGATATGATCTCCATGTATAATACATAAGGGGGGATATGATCTCTCCATGTATAATACATAAGGGGGGATATGATCTCCATGTATAATACATAAGGGGGGATATGATCTCCATGTATAATACATAAGGGGGATATGATCTCCATGTATAATACATAAGGGGGGATATGATCTCCATGTATAATACATAAGGGGGGATATGATCTCCATGTATAATACATAAGGGGGGATATGATCTCCATGTATAATACATAAGGGGGGATATGATCTCCATGTATAATACATAAGGGGGGATATGATCTCCATGTATAATACATAAGGGGGGATATGATCTCCATCTATAATACATGTATATGATCTACATAAATACATAAGGGGGGGGATATGATCTCCATGTATAATACATAAGGGGGGGGATATGATCTCCATGTATATAATACATAAGGGGGGATATGATCTCCATGTATAATACATAAGGGGGGGGATATGATCTCCATGTATAATACATAAGGGGGGATATGATCTCCATGTATAATACATAAGGGGGGGGATATGATCTCCATGTATAATACATAAGGGGGGGATATGATCTCCATGTATAATACATAAGGGGGGATATGATCTCCATGTATAATACATAAGGGGGGATATGATCTCCATGTATAATACATAAGGGGGGGATATGATCTCCATGTATAATACATAAGGGGGATATGATCTCCATGTATAATACATAAGGGGGGATATGATCTCCATGTATAATACATAAGGGGGGGATATGATCTCCATGTATAATACATAAGGGGGGATATGATCTCCATGTATAATACATAAGGGGGGGGATATGATCTCTGTATAATACATGTATGATCTCCATATATACATAAGGGGGATATGATCTCCATGTATAATACATAAGGGGGGATATGATCTCCATGTATAATACATAAAGGGGGGATATGATCTCCATGTATAATACATAAGGGGGGATATGATCTCCATGTATAATACATAAGGGGGGATATGATCTCCATGTATAATACATAAGGGGGGGATATGATCTCCATGTATAATACATAAGGGGGGATATGATCTCCATGTATAATACATAAGGGGGGGATATGATCTCCATGTATAATACATAAGGGGGGGTTAAATACATAAGGGGGATATATGATCTCCATGTATAATACATAAGGGGGGGATATGATCTCCATGTATAATACATAAGGGGGATATATGATCTCCATGTATAATACATAAGGGGGATATGATCTCCATGTATAATACATAAGGGGGGGATATGATCTCCATGTATAATACATAAGGGGGGATATGATCTCCATGTATAATACATAAGGGGGGGGGATATGATCACCATGTATAATACATAAGGGGGGATATGATCTCCATGTATAATACATAAGGGGGGGGGATATGATCTCCATGTATAATACATAAGGGGGATATGATCTCCATGTATAATACATAAGGGGGGATATGATCTCCATGTATAATACATAAGGGGGATATGATCTCCATGTATAATACATAAGGGGGGATATGATCTCCATGTATAATACATAAGGGGGGATATGATCTCCATGTATAATACATAAGGGGGGATATGATCTCCATGTATAATACATAAGGGGGGATATGATCTCCATGTATAATACATAAGGGGGGGGGTATGATCTCCATGT